TTTTCTTCTTAGGCTCCTCGGTACCTAGGCAAGAGAGATGGTAGCAACTGGCGTCTTGGCCGGGGCAGGTGGAGCCTCTGATGGCATGGACGTTCTCTCCGGAATGGCCACCCTGGTAGGAATTGTGGTTTGCCTCAGAATAGGGGGTAGCCTTGCAAACGTTGGCCGCTTCAAAGGGGCTGAGGTTTCTTCCCCTTCCGAAGCAGATTAGCCTCTGGATCCTTAAGCACCTCCTCCTCTGTCGGAGGCGGGAGCCTCTTGCTGGCATCTACTATGTCCTCCATCTACTTCTTGTAAGAGGAGGAGGAGGTCTTCAAGGTCCTCGCTTAGGCCATCATCTTCTGTATTGTTTTGAAGTCGGGCCAGAGAGGCATCTTCTTATTGAAGTTATCTGCAAGAAACAAGTAAATTAGTACAAGTGTAAACGACTCGAAAATATTCAAAGGTATTCGCTTCGAGACATTACCTTGTGAGACCATCAGGTCGTGTGTCACAAAATGAAGGTTCTTTCTGATCAGTCGATGGAACGACCTCTTCTTTGGAGGCAGTTGATAGATCATGCAGATGATCTCGAAATTGTTTGAAGATAGCTCGCAATGAAGAAGAGTGCCTTCAAAAAATGAATACGAGTGTTAGTTATAATTCGAACCGAAGAGAATAAAAAAGAAATATAGCTACAATACTCACTAAGTGTCGAGTACTTCGTGGGGACCGTAAGAAGTGTCAGGGGGTCCCTCTCCATTGTGTCCCATCTCCCGATAGCCTAGCACCACGAGCTCTTCCACTCCTTGATGGAGCTCAGCAAATCGAGCACGAATGGAGTGTGGAAACCCCAAGAGGTCAGGTAATACCAGCCCTTAGTCTTATCCTCCCCCCCCCGGCTGTTACTTTCGGAATATAGAGGGTCTGAAAAATTGAGAAGGGCATCTCCACTTCTAGTGACGCCTCTTTCCATAACATCCAGGAGCCCACCATCTGGCTCCAAGAGTTCGAATTCAGTTGGGTCGGTGCTAAGCCGTAAGACCTAAGCACCATCTGGAAAATGGGTGAATTGGAAGCCTATGGCCAGCCCTAAAGATCACCTCGCTTATCGCTACACGCCCTGGCCTAGGGTAGCAGACCCTCTCGGAAGGCTCGGGTAGGATCAGGTCTACGCTATCAGGTATCCTATATTCGGTCCTAAGTCTTTTTAGGTCGACCTCCTTTAGCTTGGAGGGGTAATTCGACGCCCCCAATGCACAGAGATATCTACTGGGCTATCTGGCCTCTTCCAAATATTCTCTCCCTAGTATCGCCTCGGCTACTTCGGATGAGGTCGCCACAATGGGCTTATCCATCCGTAAGAACTCTAGCCCCCTTCTCGAACTAGCATTACCCTCGGAGGCCATTTTCAGAAAGAAAAAATCTCAAAATAGTTACTAAAACTTACGAGTTTGAGTGCTCCCCAGTCGAAAATGGTCAAAAAGTGGTGCGTGGTTGTCGGAAAACCAAAGTTCTCGCCGAAAATGCTTGACGAACGCCGAAAATCGCAAAGAGATTTGAGAGCAATGGAGTTTTCTATTTTTGCAAGAGTAAAAAACTCAAAAAGTGCTCAACTCCTCTTTTTATAGAGCACTCCAACTAATCTCCCACCGTTAAATTCAAATGCAATTAATCTAGGCTGTCCGTCGCACCATCAATCTAGGCCGTTGAAATGAAACACCAGATTTGATCTACGGCTAAGATCTTGTTGTGATCCTCACACTCACATATAACACGTCACCTCGATCACCACCAACCGTCAACAATAAGTAGCCACAGCAGCCTTTTAGGGGAATGGGCGTTGCATCCAACTGTCACCTTGGAAATACACAGCAGCTGTCAAATCATTTAACGTCAGACACGTCCGCCTCGGATCGAGCTCCTCACTCAACCTTACAAAGTTTAGGCGTACCTGACGTGGAGTCCCCTGTGGGTCATTGCTTCGATCGCTGCGCTCGCTCCTAAGCTTTACAAAGTTTTAGCCATCTCCCAACGCGTCATCCCTTGTGGGTCAGCGCACCGGTGGCAGATGAGCTCTTCACTCAACTTTACAAAGCTTAGGCGTACTTGACGAGGAGTCCCCTGTGGGTTATCGCCTCGGTCGCTGCGCTCCCTCCTAAACTTTACAAAGTTTTAGCCATCTTCCAACGCGTCGTCCCCTGTGGGTCAGCGCACCGGTACATATAAGCTCCTCACTCAACTTTACAAAACTTAGGCGCACCTGAAGTGGAGTCCCCTGTGGGTCATTGCCTCAGTCGCTGCGCTCCCTCCTAAACTTTACAAAGTTTTAGCCATCTCCCAACGCGTTGTCCCGTATGGGTCAGTGCACCGGTGGCAGATGAGCTCNCTCCCTCCTAAACTTTACAAAGTTTTAGCCATCTCCCAACGCGTTGTCCCGTATGGGTCAGTGCACCGGTGGCAGATGAGCTCGTTACTCAACTTTACAAAACTTAGGTGCACCTGACGTGGAGTTCCCTGTGGGTTATCGGCTCAGTCACTGCACTCCCTCCTAAGCTTTACAAAGTTTTAGCCATCTCCCAATGCGTCGTCCTCTGTGGATCAGCGTACCGATGGGAGATGAGCTCTTCACTCAACTTTACAAAACTGAGACGCACCTGACGCCGAGTCCCCTGTGGGTCATCTCCTCGGTCGTTGCATTGACAATCTCCCCACACATCGTCTAGCTCGTCAACACCTCGACCTCGCGTAAATTTTTTCCCTCACACAGTGGTGAAGATTTAGCGCATCTACCAATGATCAACGCTTCGGTGAACACAGAAAATTGACCCTCAAGTTCTCACAAATCACGATTCCCATCCCAAGGCGCATATACCCGATCGGGAAGACAAGTCCACCCATGATATAAATATTCATACCTGGACTTGGGAGACCACTGTTACGTCCCTAACTGAACCCACATCAGGTGAGATATGGAACACTCATATGAAGTGGTTCAACTTCGAAAAGTCCACCACCACATCAGGCGAGGTCTGGAACGCTTATATGAAGTGGTTCCAATTGAGATGATCTTCTATCACACTACAAGACATATGTAATTCTGCATGACTGGCCGAAGCACCCTATCCCCCTGAAGCCAAGGCGAAATGATCCTCGTGGACCTCAGTCTGAGGATCCGCTGTCGATTTCAGAATGAGATCTTTGTCAAAATCTTTTCTGCCCCTAAGGTTTAAAGTGATTTGACGTCTTCATGAGGTTAGTTGATGTGACCTATCAACTTTATGTCAACTCAACTTGGGAGAAGTAACTACCCGCCCGCTCTACAGACGAGGCTGATTGACGCCTATGAGCAGACGCCTCATATCGTTCAGATGTATACACGTGTCTCACATCCAACGACTCTTCTCACCTATAAATACCCAAGGCTTAGCAAGAGATAAAGTTAATGAAATTTTTCTTATTTAGCGCTCCATGGCAAGCAAATATATATTCTCTTTCCCACTATTTTGCACAACCTTGATACTATTCCGATCACCTGAGTTTAACTTGACTGTTGGAGCGTATACGGTCGTCGTCACCCCCGCTGGTCTCGGTCGTGTATATCTGATCGTGCGTTGATTGTGCGCATGGAGGAATACGTGGAGTGGCTATCGATTGGCCACGTGGAGGATCCAATTATCGAGGTCAACAGTGCTGATAACGAGTTATATAAAGAGAGAAAAGAGAAAAAAAAATAAAGAGAAGTTAATAGATTTGTATGCATTTTATTAAGAATCAGAGCACTATATTTATAGGTAAGAATCAAGAATACAATGATAATAATTTTTAGGGCTGTATGAGTAAAATTGTCATTTACTAATAAATCTTAATAATCTTGCCATTTACAACAATATTTGATTTGTGAATAATGAAACTCTGACCCTATTTTTTTAGAATATTGATCTTTAAATATTGGGTAGCACATAATTTCCACTTCAAATTTTCCCTTTTCCAAAGACCACTGATATTCCTTGAAATCCTTATGCAATGGCCAAACTTTCACTATTCAAACCAATAAAAGTTTTCATGTTTTTCTATGTAGGATAAGTTATGGCAATATAATCAGATTCTTCTATATAAAGTTCAAAGTGGTCAACTGAATCAAAATATTAGATACAAAACTTAATGGTTTTTGACAAAATATATATATCATGTTAATCTTGTCGTAGAGTATAACATGAAAATTCTTGGTCTGGTAAATTTTGGATTACAGGTTCTACTTAAATTTAGGCTCAAATTTGACCATTTTACAATCGTAAAACCCATTTTTTTCCCCAACATATGATTCACATAATTTGTAATAGGAAAATTACAAGAATTTGCTATAATACCGGTTGGTTACCATTCCAAAGACAGAAATTTTGGGCGCCAGATCTACAAGATTAATGCTATTAATAGCATTTATTGTGTTTAACGTATAATAGGGCCAATAGATTGGTCTTGTCCATACATTTAATTGAATATAGAGTAATGTTATCTATAGTCGCTCATTGAGGTAGTCGCCTACGTTGCATCTTACATGGCGATTTGTGATTTGATTCATTAATGTGTTAGTTTTTTATTTGGTCTCACGCATCAAATTACTAATAGACACATGTGTACCACATAGAACGAATGTGATAGTGAGCGAATAGCATTATTCTTGAATATATCACTTCATGTTATATATCTTGACAACTAGACTAGTGTTAAATACCATTTGTGCTAGATTTACAAAGGTCAATTCCACAGCTATGAATCCATTATGCATGATTTCGATTCTTGATATCTAATTCATTTATCCTTATAACTCGCAAATATTCAAGTAATCAAAAATTTGATCTGGTGCATATATGCACCCTACTCATATATATTGCACCACAAAGAATTAGGAGTCATGACACAAATTAAACTAAAACGTGAAATGGCATTTTCTTCTCCCTGCTTGTTTTTGTTCATTCTCGTTTCAGTAACCTGTCTTTATTTCCAATTCACATCTGCAGAAACCGACATGAAAGCTTCTGATTTGGTTAGTGAAATATGCTCGAAAACACGAAATATCTCCGAGTGTTTGTATGAATTAAGAGGAGACGAGGGAAAAAACCTTAGCCAAATAGCCCAATCATTAACTTTCGTAGCACGTGTTACGGCATTTTTAGTGAATGACATAGCTCAATTGTGTGAAAAACAAGTAAAAAATTATCTCCAGAAGGAGAGATGTCGTTCGTGCGTGGAGAATTATGTTCGTATCATGGAAGATCTTGTAGATTGGAAGCAATCTGTCGACTCTGGAAACTATCAAAATCTGCCATCAAAAGCAGATGCCATGTCGAAAGAGGCTGAATCATGTGACAAAAACTTTGAACAGCCACCAAGTGAACCTCCACAACTCATACTAGGCACAAAAACTTTTCTAGATATTTGTAGCATCCTTGTGGTTGTTTCCTATAAATTAGCAGGTCGAATTATCTAATTTTTATTTAATTTCGAAAGTATAATCTACAAAATAATGCTTATCGTTGACCTCAATTAAGGAAAATTTTCTGCGTTAATTACCAACTGCAATATGAAAGTTTTTTGCTTCTTTTCATCATTAATATTGTTCACATCAAGTTCAGATTTGGATTCATAAATGCTAGACAGTAGAAATCGAGGAATTAAGTCAAAAAATATTACAAGTTGTAATCTGTAGATTTTGACAACTCTAATATCCTCCCTCAATCTTGATGCGCTTCGCACCGGGATGAAAAACTGGATTTGTTGCCAAGAATTTCGCTCCCATATGTTCACGATAGACTTCTGAGATAAATGAACTGCTAACTCTGACAGTATTTGCCGCAGCCAAATAATTTTAGACTTGGCCAAGGCACTTGGATTTAGATAGTTAACACGAAGAGCAATCGTACCGTTGAAATACCTCAAAACCCTTTTTAAAGCTTGCTAATAAGCTTCTGTAGCGGCATTAAAGTACTGGGGATGTTGGAGAGCGCGAAAGGCTTGATGAGGTCGTAATACTGTTACCACTAACTCAGCTATGAGGTCGCCGAGTTGGCACTAGGAGCTTGCTATGGCTTTTGTGAATATGGCCACGAGCGACTCTTCTACCGGTCGATGCAACTCTTCATACGATGTTGGACTCGTACTGTAATGTGGGCGATTCGGTGGAACTGCACCTGGAACCAAATCAATGTGATATTGAACATTACAAGGGGCGGATGACCCGCATATTGACTCAAGGAACAAATCCTCAGAGCATTTCCAATCACATCACCATTGCACCATAATTCATCAAAGTACACCAAATTTTTGGTGCCAATCTCCTCCAACCCATTGCACCATTTTGGTACATTTTTACCACTCTCTTCCCCTTTGCACCAATTTTTTTAAGGACATATTTGTCCATTTGTTATACAATAAATTTTAATTCTAATAACAACAACAACAACAATAATAATAATAATAATAATAATAATAATAATAATAATAATAATAATAATAATAATATCAACTTTAGAAAGATAATTATCTTATCTTTTTAATCTTATTACTTAAATAGTCATATGTAAAATTAAATAAAAATATAATTTTAAATAAAAGCGATTGGCTATAAGTCTGGCCTTGTATTTAATGTCATTTTCCCTCCTTTTAATTTTAAAGATTCATTTACAGTCTATAACTCCCTTTCCTTCAGGCCTTTTCTCCAAAATCCAAGTCTTATTCTTTTTAAGGGATTTCATCTCATCATGCATGGCAGCTAGCCAATACTTGGAATCCATACTACTTATAGTATCTTCAAAGGACTCAAGTTTGTTCATCATCAAACTTGACAGGGGGTCTTATTTCTATTCTTTGTCTATCTTTAGCAAGAAGGTAATTACTTAAGGGTTGATTTGCTCCCAAATCATTCTCAATTTCAAGTTCATAACCTTCGTCACCAAGTGTCATTATTTTCATTTTTACTTTGAGGCTTTGAGCTTCCGATTGTTCAGTTTCATCTCCAACCTGCCCCATCTCAATTTCAGTTTCCCTTTCTACATTTTTGTTCTGATTTAAGGTGTCTTGTTTTCCCTCCCCATTTAAACGAGGAAAATCATTCACATGAAACACCACATTTCTACTTATAATGATCTCATACCCTTTGGTTTCCTTAATTCATAGCCTATACCCTTTAACTCCTTCACCATAGCCCAAGAAGACACATTTAAGGGCCTTAGATTCTAACTTTCCTTTAGACTGATGTGCAAAAGCTGCTTATCCAAAGACTTTCAGATTACTAAGGTCAATAGTTTTCCAGCCCACACATGTTCAAGAGTCTTAAATTTTATAGCACTAGCAGGACACCTATTGATTAAGTAACTAGCATTTTTTTGCAACTTCCTTCCAAAATAGCTTTGGAAGACTAGAACTTAAGAGCATACATCTAATTCTTTCAAGAATAGTCCCATTCATTTTTTCAGCCAAGCCATTTTGTTGTAAGGTGTGTGTCACAGTTTTCTGTCTCAATATACCTTGCATTTTGCAGAACTCATCAATTTCAAAATTGCAACATTCTAAACCATTATCTGTTCTTAGTAATCTAATCCTTCTTTCAGTTTGATTTTCAATCAGTATTTTCCACTCTTTGAAAGCATTAAAAGTGTCAGATTTTGATCTTAGGAGAAAAATTCAAACTTTTTTCTAGAGTAATCATCAATAATCAAAATGAAGTACTTAAAACCAGTGTGAGTAGGCACAGAAGTTGGTCCCCAAAGATGAACATGCAAGTATTCAAGTATTGACACAAATTTATGCATTCCAGGTAAGAATGGAAGTCTATTGTGCTTTGCTAAAACGCAATAATCACAAAAACCGAGTTTCTCAATATTATCCTCTCCAAAGGTACCTTGTTTTTTCAGAATCCGCAATCCTTTGTCACTAACATGATCTAATCTCTTATGCCACATTTGTGACTTATCATTTTGAACAAAAATTGCTTCTGAAGTGGAATCAATAAAATTTTGTGTTTGTAAAATGTAAAGTTCATGTCTCTTGGGGGCTTCTATAATAAACTTTGAGCCCCTCAAGATTTTTATGTATCCCATATTGATCATGATATGATATTTCAGGTCATCTAGGAAAAGAAATAAGATTTCTTTGTAAGTCAGGTACATACCTTGTCTTTTTCAAGACAAGCTCATTATTACCCTTTACTTTTAAGGTGATAGTTCATATTCCCTTAACCTGACATGTCATATAATTACCGATTAAAACTTAGCCTCCATTTACATTTTCAAACTTAGCGAGCCACTCTTTATTTGGACATATGTGAAATGTGCAACCTGAGCCAAGAATCCATTCTTGATTAGGTGGACTGTTTATTGCAACATAGTTTTCATCAATATTGACCTCATTATTATAGGCCAAGGCTGCACCATCATCAATTTTAGACTTATTCGTCAAATCATTAAGTCTTTCGAGACAATCTTTAATAAAATAACCCCTTTCTTGATAGTAAAAACATTTCTTACCTTTTGTCTTTACTTTCATTTTATCTTTAAAGTGTTCCTTCTTTTGTGTCCAAATTTCTTGTTGAAGTTAACATTCTTGGGATTTGTTTTGGATTTGGCCATTAAGTTTTCCCCACTATAAAGTCTCTCTCTCTCTCTCTCCAAATCTTAACTCTAACTCTTTATTTCTTAAGGCATTTATTATCACATATGTGGTTAGAGCTTCCCTCCCATACTCAATAGCATTTTTAACATCTTTGTATTTATCACCAGTTGAGTTCAATAAGACCACAGCCAACTGATCTTTTAAGAGTTTTTCGTCACAGTTGGCTAAGTCATGGGATAATCTGTTGAATCTATCAATGTTAACTTCAAGATCCAAAGTTAGGTCCAGTTTAAAACCAAAAGATTATTTTAGAAGATACAATTTATTAGGAATGGTTTTATTTAAATATGTATCTTCTCTAAGAATATTATCATATAGATGCAGAAAAATAGAGCTCCATGCAGTTTCATCAAGTTCAATTATCTTGTTTTCTTCTAAATTAGCAGGTCATGACCCATTAATTGCTTTTGCACATTTTTGTTGAAGTAAAATAGCTCTCTTTTTTTTGCACCAAAGACTAAAGTCTCCTTTACCATTAAAAATGTCCAATTCAAATTTTGTAGAAGTCATTTAAAAAAAATTGAATGCTAATAGTACATGCAGATCACACAGACACCACAAGAGTATCTACATTTTTATAAACAATGGTTCAACAATGTCACAGCAGTTTATTAACAAAACAATTCAATCAGTGAAGGGTATCACAAAGAACAAGCATAAGTCACAGTAAAATATGTATATAGTAATCAAGAACACATGCAAGAATCTAAATCTAGATCTTTGACTCAAATCAAGACAACCCTCAGATTCTAGATAACTTACAAGGTTTCCGGACAAAGATATTGTCAAGAACATCTCAAGTCTAGAATTTTAAACATGTTTACAACAGGACTTCAAGTATAAGCAAGTATTCTTTACTATAAATTGTAAAACAAGAACAATCTCACGAGATCTCTTTATTAGGGTTTCAAGAAATAGCAAAAACACTACTGAATCGGTGTCACCTTTCAGATCTACTATAATGGAGACCAAGAACCTCCGTCTAATAGCTCTAATACTACTGTTAAGATTAGATTCTATCGATTAGAGATCTTAATCAATAAAAATTGTATTGTAAACTAAAAATACAGAAATTAAAAAAACGAAGAACACAATATTTTCGCCCTAATGCAAGAGGTTCAGAACTAAAATTCCTAATCTCCTTTTGAGCTTTCGCCTCGGGAAGAAACCACTTGTATTAAGAAATTGAACCATGAAATCGTTCGTAATGTACACAACCAAAGGACTCAAAATTAATCACTCAAGATAACATCATAAAACCTCTCGATCGATACATCTAAGTTCACTCAAGAACATACGACTCAATTAGACGTTACAAATCACTTGAGAGATGTAAGAAGAATTTGAAAGAGTCTCAAGCATCTTGAGAGGCAGAGAGAAAGTGAATAGTGAACTTTTTGTCCATCAAACCCTAGGCAGACGGATGAGTATATAAGAAATCACCAGAAGGTCAGCCATCCAATGATCATTAGGGTGACACTTGGCATCATCTCACGCATCAAAAGATCAATTAAAGAAGTCATGTTATGAGAAGACGCATTTTTAAAAATTACAAAGTGAAGGTCAAATAATTCGGTTAATAGACCAATTAAGCAATCCAGTCAGCCTTTAAGTTGCTTTCACATCATTGTACCATAACTCCACATATTATAATTAAATTTTGACAAAAAAATTGATGAAACATATGATCGAAAAGTTATTGGTCCTGTGAATTTTGAAATTAAAATTAATTGTCGACTTCGACTAAATTTTAATTTGATTTTAATATGCACGGGCTTTAGAATCCCATCTTACTATTTCTGGACTATAGAATTAAGGGAAAATTGTAGCCACAATCCCAAACATTTCGCTTATTAGCAGATTGACCCAAACCTTTCATTTGCGCCTCATATTGTACCAAGAAAATTCTCACTTGAAATCAAAATGGATGGTTTCCGTTAATTTGACCATTAGTTGACCAAAAGTCTATGATGTAACCAAATGTTGACTAATGTGTTAGAGGATAAATTGGTAAATTTACATTTGTAATATAAATTAAAATAATTAAATAATAAAAAAAAGATAAAAAGTCAACCCACCTACCTACGCAAACCATTTCTTTCTTGAATTAAACTCCTTGGACAGGTTGAAGGCAGGAAGCAAGAAAATAGACTGATTTGGATGTATTTTTTTAAAATTTTCAAACTGTCCAATTGCTTATTGACACATGGCGCCCTTTTTTGTACTCTATTTTCTACCATGAATCTGTAGCATCTTTCTTCTTTCTTGTCCATTTGCATATAACCCCGTTCCTTTGTCTCAAAATCGTTGCCATCGCACCCAAGTCGCTAACCTCTACATTTACCCAGGTCGTTGACCACCATCACTACCTAGGCCGATTGCCACCACCATCTACCCTTCACCAAAACCTTGGCTGAAGCTCTCAACAGCTCCTCCCAATCAAACACCTAAATTGTGATTAGGGAACTTTATTTTCAATTTCTTACTATAATTTACTATACTATTTTTCAATTTCAAGTTGTCATATTTGTGTTTCAGATCTAAAATTTGAAACTAATTTTGATATCAGATTTGTTTTTGAGATTTTGGCATTGCTGTGGTGTAAGTGTAGTGTTATTGAATGAAGGTTGTTGATGGTGAGGAAAAATAATGGCGGAGTGGCAGTTAGATAGTGGTGATGGCGTGAAAGTTCGATCGGGATGATAATTAGCTTTAAAGTTGATCATAGAGGGCTTAAAGGCGAGCACTCTTGTCGGTTTCTCTCTATAATAAATGTTTGGGGGTTGAGGCGATGGCAGCTAGTAGTGGCAGGTGGGTGAGGCGATGTTGCTTGAGGAAACTACTAGTTTTGATGTGATGTTGGCGTTGAAGATTGAGAAGGTGGCAGTGGCGATCAGCAACCGAGTGAGGGTGGTTTTGGTTTTTTCGTAGGGGAAGGAAATGAGGGTGCGTGGGTGTGGTTTTGTTTTTTGTTTCTTAATTTTTGATTTAATTATTATTATAATTATATTTTTTGGTAGAAAATATAAATTTACAATGTTTCCTTTTTGAAATTTGGTTAAAATAAGTCAAATTTTATTATTCTAGTCATCTAATGATCAAACTAAAGAAAACCATCCATTTGGACTCCAGATGAGACTTTCTGGAAGGTTTGTTATCGTGGATGGTACAAATGAAAGATTGGGTCAAGTTCGCTAATAAATGAAAAATTTAGTACCTTGGCTACAATTTTCCCTAGAAATAATTATTGAATTGTGAGAGAGTTGATATTAAATGTGATGAATTTTTATTTTTATTTTTTGAAAAAAATTTAAAAATCGTATTAGGAAAGGATTTAGAATGTGATGGGTACATAAAATTTGTGTGAATCTATAGTGTTTAAATTAATGATTTAATAACCACGTTATTAGAATGATATATGGATAAAAACAGTAATTTTTCAAATTAATACTTCAGTAGAAATGGATATATAGTGAAATAGATATATAACAATCATGGAGGTAAAAAGCAGCTCTTCCAATCAAATACTTGTTGATTCAACTAAATATGAGGACTCATTTATAGTCACAATATAGTTGGTTTACATGAATATTTTACATGAATATTGAGTAATTGGCTTGATCAACAAATCATTTATTCGTGCACGAATACTGATTTGGACCGAAAAGAATTGGAAAGTCCAAATTCAAATTTTTTAATTAGGAATTTTGCATGTTTAGTCCCAACCTTGTGAATTGTAAATTTTTTTTTTCGAAACTGCTACAGGTACACTTTCGTTTACATCATAGATTACATTCTTCCAAGAAACGTGATCTACACCTTTCCTTTTCCCACCAATGCATAGGAAGAATGTCGTCCTAGCATTATTCATCCTTCTTTAGCATGAAACATTTCAACCTTCGAACACGTAGCAAAATTCGTCTTTCATCCATTTAGACCAACATCCATGAAAATTGACGAATTTGCTTTCCTCTTCAAATAAACCAAAAAAATAAAAAGCAACTAGATAGTAAAATGGAGGAATAATTACAACATAAGCTCCAAATCTCTCCAAATCTACAATATATTAAATTGGGGAATTAAGGAGACGTTTGAATATCAATTTTACCTTTACATATTTTTCTATATGCCCAATATGCCCTAATTTGGTCTACAAAAAGGGGGAAAATTTTGAAAGGTTGCATTGATATGACATTTATTATTTATTCTTTTTTGAAAGTTGTTTTAATTGACAATTACATATGATACACCTAAGTTTAGATAAAAAAAAATGGAATACCAAATGATTCAATTTATTTCCTCTAAATATATAAGATAATTAATTATTATTATTACTTTTAAAAATTAAGTCAATTAATTTCCACTAAATACAATTGTTACTAATTATTAGTACATAATTATAAAAACATTATTACATACAATTAAAAGAAATTATAATAATATTACATAAACGTGATTAAGAGCATTATTGGTTTACATTATTTACATTCATTTGTAATGAATTCTAAAATTTGCATTATATATATAGTATTAAAACGATAATATCAATAAGGGTAATTATATTACCATTGTACAATTTACTTGCCACATCACATTATAATTACACCACAAT